CTGTCCGGGCCGGGTTTTCACACCCCCGGGGTAGCGAGCGCTCTGGCGCCTCAGCCTCTCGCTGAACAGCGGACAGAAAACCAGTCTGATGGCCGGTAGCAGGGGCGGGTCACGCACTTCGTGACAAGTGCCGGTAATTAAGCTTGTACGGGGGAAAACCCGCATTTCTCCGGTACCACAGCTGCCCCGGGAGCGGTTGCGCAGAGGAGCTCACACCCTGAGCCCCGCAGGGACGGCTGGCCTGGCACAGGCCCGCTTGTCCCTTCGCTGGCTCCCGCGGCGAGTGCCAGACTCCCCCGAGTAACTTCCCGGCAGCTCCCAAAGCGGTAGAAAACACAGCCGAGCGCCAGGAACGCTCGGTGCCAGAATGCTGCAGCAACAGCAACAAGAGTTTCTGGTGGTGATTCTTCACGCTCAGGAACGTGAGCTGCTGTTAAAAATAGCTCCTGCAGCAGCTCCACTGCTAAGTTCAATGATTCAATGAGAGAGGAGGAAGGAGTCAAGCAATTACAGCAATGCTGAGCCCAGCAAGCTGGACTGGTGTTCTCCATTCCAGTCTCCAGGGGACTAAAACAGGCCAGAGTAAGGATGGATCCTACAGATAACACACCCAGGCTCCCTTTTCAGCATGGCAAGGAGGGAAGTGCCTTCATTTTCATACAGAGGTGTGACATTAAATGACTCTCCCCGGGCAGCAGGCAGTGCAAAAGCAGCAGGCTCTAACACATTTTAAATAAGGAGCAGAACACCACGCTGTTCCCTTGCTTTCCAGTCAGATTTTACCGTACAGGCTCAGCAAAAATTCAACTTCTAGCAACAGGCAAACAGTCAAAGTTGACCCAACACTGTTCGGGGCGGGGGGGAAATCAGATTAATTTTGTACAGAGCTCTGCTCAGGAGTTCTGTGTATGTCCACAGGAAAGGAATTCAGCGTTTCCAGCTATTCTTAAGGATCAGGGACCACAGAACTAAAGCTGGAGGAAACACGGCTGCTGCTGATAGGAAGTCTTCTCCGGGCTTATGGAGGGAAGGGCAAACATAACCCTGCCAAGGTCTAAACTGCAAGAGAGAGAAGCTCCAACAGAGGCTTTTAAAAGTGTTTATTGATGGGTACTCGATGGAATGATGGCGCAATAGTGCAAACCACTGTGCAATTGGGAGAACACATTCCCTTCCCAGCTTTCACATTTACGTTATTATACAGGAGACATGGAATAAGGACTAAATACAAAATGGGTCAGTATGCTGCATTTGCCACGCTCTGTTGGGCTTTGGACAGATTCCTGTTCCCTCAGTGCCTGTCAGTCCAGAGCTACATCGAAGCGGGGGGTGGCGCCTACCCTCTGCTCAGCTCTGCTAGCACGGCCCTTGGAACCAGCCATCCTCGTCGTGTGCCCGCACAGCCTCTCTCTGAAAGACCTGGCGCCTCACCGGACGGGGTCTGCACTTGCTGTTCGTAAAGAACGGAAAACACCAGACGTTCCCAAGCCACACCTAATGTTTATAGTACATGACCAGTGAGCTTCAGGAGTACTCCTTCAGAGCAGGATTTCAGCTAATACTCATCTAGCTTGCTAGCTTGTAAATTAGGTGCCCACTTCATCCGTGTGTGATTTTTCTCCCTGGAAGCTTCTACAAGACAATTAGGAGCGAGCAGCTAAACTTTGTATTTCTAGTGCTTGAGAGTCAGCATTGGAAGAGATTTCTTTGTCCAAAGACAAACCACCAGCTAGTTTCTCTAAGGAAGCTGCATTGTTAGATTGTAAGTCAAAGAACATCCTGTCCTCAAATGATGCATTTTGGAAAACAACCACCCCACCATGGTCAGAAATAAAGCACCCAGTTAGGAGTCTCGAGGCTAACCTGACCAGCATGCAGTGGTTCCAGCTGTCACCACGCACACTTCTCCTGGCCTTTCAGATCTGTAACGACATCCTTCTCCAAGAGAATCTAGAACCACAGCCCCTTGGAAACGAATAAAACCACGGGGCAGATACTGGAGACTTCAGAACCTGCTGGGTTAAGGTTATGTGAATCAGTGGTGTGCCCTCTTTGAATGTCATTCTTATTCCAGTCCAAAGTTACCTGTACATACAAAATGTTAAAGTTGTGCCACTTGTCAGGAACAAGACATCTCCAATGACTGATCACACTTCAGCATACAGTTGGGACAGGGAATAATACATTACAGAAAGCAAAACCACAAGATTTTAGTTACATAAAACAATAATTTGTATATAAACTCATAAATACTGTCTCCATAGTTCACTAATTCCAAATACTAGTTATCTGCACATTAGTTGCTAATATCTATTACTAGAAGTAGTCCAGCTTGTGCTCTCTCAGGGTGGTCAGTTCATTTCCACGACTAGTCAGCCTGTTTGCTCTGAGGGAAAAAAAATCTCAGCAGTGAGCCTAGGTTCCACGTGAAGATTTCATTTTATTGCCTGCCAGATAATGAGTCCTATGATTATGGAAGCCACAGCAAGACCAAGAATCAGGATACAGATCTTCTTACGGGATTTCTTCTAATGAAAGAAGAAGAAAAAAAGCCGTTGACACCAGGAACAGATGACAACAGGAAAAAGCCAGTCTAGCAATTAACGTTACTAACTTGGCAAACCAGAGCACTTGACACTTGAGAGAAGTAACGAGTGCAGTCTGAACGCTTGTACATGTCCCTTAAACTGCATCATCCTACAGATAACTGTTCTTAGTTTTAGGAGCACAGTGGTCCAAGACATGCAGTTAAGTCAAAATGGGACAAGTTTTGCTTCTTTTAAGGAAAATGCAAGTTGGCTACAAAGAGAGAACTGGCAATACCTACCACATGTTTCTCATCCCAACAGACAACACCACGGCTTCGAAAGAAATCCAAGCATCTCTAGCTATCTAGATTTTCCAGGTAAGACTAATAAAACTGCCAAGCAGTTCTCTGACACAATCTGCCCTTGTCCACTTGGGGTTGGTGTGGGCATAGTATTGTGTTGCTACAGTGCAAGTGATTTAACATTGCCACGGGTTAGTTACTGTACTTGGATTTTACAGCTTTGGTCACTTTATTCATCACAGGAGACTACAGTCTGTCCATACATATTTTTTACCCTGTATCTAAGGAATTGAGGATAGTTATATATAACCACTTCCTTCTCCATCCAGAAAATACACATCCAGCACATGTCCAGCAGCTCCCAAACTTAGATTTTTAAGATACCTCAAAATTGTAAAGGGAGCCATGGAGCGAGACTACCACTAAGTGCTGCCAGATGGCAAAAGCCTTTCCCTCCCTTGCACTGAACAGCACGGGAGATTTACTGCCTTCCAGTACCTCCCCACTTAAGAGCCTGAAAGACTCCCACTTTTCTATCTTGTGTGGATCCTGAAGTCCCAGCAGTGAACCTGCACGGGACGGATTGCAGCAGAACCCTTGCTCCTCCACAGAACCCCTGCTCCTCCACAGAACCCCTGCTCCTCCACAGAACCCCTGCTCCTCCACAGAACCCCTGCTCCTCCACAGAACCCCTGCTCCTCCACAGAACCCCTGCTCCTCCACAGAACCCGGCCCTATAGGGACAGCAATGATGAAAGGAACCTACAGCAAACGCTGAATATCACACCCAAAGGAGAGTTAAGCAGTGGTGAGAACCACTGCAGAGATGTGATGGGAAAGGAAGGACAGGCCACAGGATACAGACTCAGCAGCCAGAAAGAACCATGCTGCAAATCCCAGTCACCAGCAGCTCCCCGAGTCTGGGCAAGGGTTTTGCACATCAGTGTCTTGGCTGATAGGTTTACAAGATGGATACAAAATGAGAATTTGTTCTTGTTTAACTGTTCTGCTAACTCCAGAGAACAGCAGAGACAGCTGAACACTTAAACTTGCTGAGCACACCTACATGAAGGGACAGACTGACTGTAGATCCTCTGAAGGACTAACTTCAATACCCTAATTTTTGACTCAAGTGCTTTATCTATTCCTTGCAGCACCATTTGGAGCAAGTGCCACCTTGCACAAGCTGTTTTTAATAACTTGTTTCGTGCACTGCCATCCCCAGTATGTGCCTGGTTACGCCGCTTCCACTCTTGCTCAACCATGCCGTGACAATAACGCAGGCAGGCAGAATTTACCTGGTAGTAGGCAGCTCGCTGTAACTGCTCACTGGCTCTTTCCACATGGACTTCTGCACTTTCCACATTCGCCTCTATGCTATCTATGGAAAAATAAGAGAACACATTGTAAAATATTTCAGAGCTTCAGTAGTTCAAAAAAAAAAAAAAGTACAATACTTTTTATACAAAATACTGGAAAATTTAATCTATGTGGGCAGAACATGCAATTGAACTAAGAAGAAACCTCCTGTTATCCCAACATACTTACCAATCATGTCTCCTTGGTCATGAATCATCATGGCTAAATCCTTAAATATCTGATTGACATCCAAAATGTCTGCCTGAAGACAACAGTTTAACAAGTTATAACAAACATTGGTTATAATTTTTCTAATCCTTATTCTTAGCACCTCTTCTGACCATGGCTCAAGTGTCAGAACAGACATCATTCACTGATGAGGTGACTTGATGATACTATCTGTGGAATCTGGGATTTACACAGGAGCCTACAACATTCCCGCTACGGAGTATTTGTTCCATTCACTAGCAATTAGGGCGGCATGGAATGGAGATGAACACTGTGACGTGAGTTGCTCTGACCATCTCTGAAGGACCACCCGTCAACACCAAAGGAAAATACACCCCATCTCCTTCAACAGGACCGGGGAGATTGATCTTGGCATCAATCCTCTCTACAAGGAACTCTGTTCCTCCACCTTCAGATCTCCTCAGCCCATCCCATTAGTTAGCACTGCACGACTCCTTTGGTTTATCTCCCAGTACTGCTAAACGTGCAGGAGCTACTGGTCACCTCTAATTGCCTGATTGCTGTTTCTCTTTCTTTAATGAGTTCAAGGTCCTGTTCAGTTATTGCCACATCTTCTTCCTGAGACTGCATTTGATTCCAATCTTCACCACTGGGAAGAGATGGAGAGAAAGTATGACTCTTTTCTCTGAGTATAGGTACTTCCACAGTCCATTTATAGCAAAGGGCCAGTGAGTAAAAGCTGAAACATCTCCTACAGAACAACCCCCCATCACTACACTTAAATTCTGAGCATTCATAACAGTCCCTCACATACAGGGCCACCCCACCGCCTCTCCTTCCCTGTCTATCCCTCCTGAAGAGCTTGTAGCCATCGATTGGGGCACTCCAGTCGCGTGAGGCATCCCGCCATGTTTCTGTGACAGCTGCTATGTCATAGTTTTCCTGTTGCATCACGACTTCAAGCTCCCCCTGTGTGTTGCTCATATTTGGTGCACTGGTATAGATGCACTTCAGACGAGCTAACGAGCCCAACATCTTGGTGTGGGTGTGGGCCCCGTTTCCCACCAGACCCTTCTCAGGTGTTCCTGTGACTTCTAAAGCACCACCAGCAGCCCTTGCCTCTTCATTCCTCATTCTGTGTTTATCCCTTGTCTCTGCTGAGAAGGCAGAGCAGAGTCCTCGCTAGCACGCCGTCCTACGAGCCCTGGCTTGCTTCCCAGGGCTATTAACAGCAGGCCCAGTCATGTCCCCTTCCCCCTCCAAAGCAGTTTAAAGCCCTGTCAGCGAGCCCTGCTTGCTCCTGCCCCAGAATCCTTTTTCCCCTCTGGGACGGGTGCATCCCACCGCGTGCCAGCAAGCCGGGGGTCCCGTCTATCAACCCCTCACCAAACCACCCAAGCCCTGCCGGTAACCCCAGCCCCGGAGCCATGAATCAATCTGATGGCTCTTCCTGTCAATTCCCTCATCCATCCCCGCCAAGGAGGGATGGAGGAGAACACCACTTGCACTCCTGATCCCTTGAGCAGTTGCCCCTAAAAGGCCCTAAAATCTCTCTCAATTGATTTTGGGCTTCTGGCGGTCACTTCATCGCTCCCCACCGCCATACCAAGAGCGGACAATAACCCGAAGGCTTCTCCAGGGTGGACAGCTTGCCTGACACCTTCCAAGCCTACCGACTAGGCAGGCCCGCTGTCACCACAGAACCAGTGCCACCCCCGGACAGGCGACAGGAACGCTGCCTCGGTGTGCGCGCTTGGGGGTTAGTTTGGCAGCGCCTAACGTCTGGCGCGTCTGAGCTTAAGGCAGCCTCACCCCCTGCTCTGCAATGCTCCGGCTGGGCTGCCCGAACACACCCAAACCCATGAAATAAATACACAGCTCCTTGTGGAAAGGGTCACAGTGAGGGAAATCCTGCCTGGTAATCTGGTGCTCACGGTCCAGAAAACCTGGAGCTCCAACTGCCACAGACTAGGGGCTCTCCTATTCCCCTCAGGGCACTAATCACACAATCTACATTTAAGAAGGATAAAATACTGTTGTATGCAGTTAATTTTTTTTACATTGTATATTACGAGTACCATAATAATTGCCTTTCCAATCTTTCTGCTTTGCATTCAGCCAGCAGAGCCTGGCCCAAGTTGCAGAAACGTATCTTGCCACAAAAGCTTTAGTGATAGGTAGTTAAAAGTAGAACATCAAGAGTACAAGAAGCCGTTACCTATCAAATGAAACAAGCTGCTCT